CCCGGACACCTCCTGCCCCGGGGCCTTGCCCGGCTCCAAGCCGCGGTTCCGGGCTGCTCCAGCCACCCCCCGCGTCCCGCAAACAAAAACCCTGCCCCTGCTCGCTGGCACTGCGCGCCTGGGGCTGTCTCTCTCCTCTCCCTCGGCTGCTTCCTCAGACGCGGGGCCTCAGGTGGAAGGTGGCACCCGGGTCTCTTTGGGCTGCTGTCTGTCACTGCCTTATGCCCCTTTGGCCCAGGAGCATCCAGGCTGCCCCTTTTAAACACAACCCCCTGGATGCACCTGTTTTAGCATGGTAGAAAGTGAGGTTGGAAGGGACCTCAGTGGGGCATCTCCTCCCACCCCGTGCTCAAAGGCGGACCGTCCCCAGCTAAATCATCCCAGCCCAGGCTTTGTCGCCTCATGTCTTGAGAAGGAAGACTCCACACCCCCTCTGAGCAGCCTGCTCCAGTGCTTTACCACCCCCCTCCCAGTGAGAGAGTATTTCCTAATAGCCAACCTAAACCGCCGCAGGAATGTGCATTCCCCAGGGACAAATAGCAGCAGCACATTTGTGCCACTGCTGCTTGTTCCCAGTGCACACACCTGCCCATGCATGCTCTGGTGCATGGCAGATTGCCCCGGGTGGGGTAGGGAAGGCTGGGGCCAGCACCTGGGCTGGCCCCAGCATCCTTACCTGGGGGCCTCCCAGGGCTGCAGCAGTGGTGATCCAGCTGTGTGTAGCCTGGCCAGCAGGCAGGGCGTATCTCTGGCCAACTAGGCTCTGGGGTCGGGCCGCACATGCTGCAGCCATGTGCACTGCATCTCTTGTTTTTGGTGCGTTTGGGGGATTTTGTTGGGTATTTTTTAAGATACCAGGATTTCCCAGAATCTAATTTTGCCACTGCACAGCAAATATGCAGCATGGTGAACAAATTAACATGTGCCACATGCATTTGAGACACCTCAGAAGGCTTTGAGGCGCTGCAAAATGCATGTTCCTGCTCATTTGCATATGGCCTTTGAAGCCTAACATTAGATAAAATTACCCAAAGAATTAGCAGTGAGATTTTCTGGTTCTGAAGATTAGGTAGGACATCCACCAGGTCAGCAACCTCCTATCCCAGGGGCCTTTCCCAGCTGCATGCAGCCGAGGAGCGGCTCTGAGCTGCTCCAGCAAAACCCCCACATGCCACAAGCAAAAAAACCCACCTCTTGCACTTGAATGTAATTGAATTATAAACTTCATTAAGTCCATTTTTAACAACGGTAAGGACCTGAGTTTAGACCATGGGTACTGGGTTGCAGTGTGGGATTCTCTGCCCTACGTTATTTTGTAGTTATGAACAGTATAATGAACTTGGTTCCTTGTCTCTGAAACCAGCTTGGAGTGAGGGAGTCTGGGATATATTGGAAAGACTCGTGGACTTAGGTACAAATCCTTAAAGCCATTTATGAATTCATGGGGAGTTTAGGCATTAAATAATGGTTGGAATTGCAGTGCATTGTGTTTGGGGATCTGGGGCTTGGAAACTAAAAAGAACACAGGATGCTTCATGTTTATACAGCACCTAGCCAGAAGGCGAGGTGGGGGCAGGGCCCACTCATGGTTGACTTCAGGGTATAATTTTGATATAGAGAGGAATGACTTAGATACAGGAGTTAAAAATCTCCATCCTTGGAGGTTTTTAAGACCCAGCTAGACCAAGCCTTGACTGGGATGATATAGATGGGGATGATCCTGCTTTGAGCAGGGGGTTGGACAAGTTCCCTTCCAGCCCTAATTTTCTATGATTCTAAGCAGTAATCCAGTTATGGGATGATTTAAAAACAAATTAATTGAGATGTTTGATAAGCAAGTCTAATTCCTTATATCTGTCATAGTTCTATTACAATTTCTAATATGTATATTTTATTGATTTATAAGCATATTTTTACAATATCTGTTAAAATTATGTATTGTATTTTTAGGAACCAAAGATGAGCAAATCGGTAACTCCTTCCACATATGTTCGTTGCATTGGCTATGGACTGATGAGGCAACTGGCTGATTTCCTTGATCCACAAGAAGGATGGAAGAAGCTTGCCGTAGACATAAAAAACCCTTCTGGTGAAAACAGATACAATCAAATGCATATTAGGTATCATATGAAAATGATGAGAAATTCACTGAGACTGCTTAGTCTTCCTTTCATTTTTGATTTATCACATTTAGTTTTTAATAAGCCAAAACATAGTATAATCAGAGATTTACTATTTCAAATGCACTCAAGATTTTAAACTTCAAGTTTTCATTTGAATTGCTTTTTGTCTGCAGGCACTTGCAGGAGGTTACTATGTTAGAGAGCTCCTGCCCTGTTATTATGAGGAAAAAATTATAAATTAGGATTAAGAGACTGAAAGGAACAGGTGCAGGAGCTGTGGTGCAATGGTTCCAGTCATATTAATGAAGTTACAGTGGTGATGAATTTAGTCTACAGCAGGGTTAGACAACGTTTTTTGGCCGGAGTATCGAAAAACACCACAATGCCTAACTTGGAAGGTGCTGGAGTGCCAGCATGCTAGAAAAACAAAATGTGGGCAGGGGTACATGGCAGAATGCCCTGCTTGTGCCCCTTGCCCCCCACCCAAAGCCCCTGCCGCCCAGCCTTTCTTATGACCCTTGCCTCCCACCCAAAGCCCCTGCCCCCCCAGCCCTGCTGCCCCTTGCCCTCCACCCACAGCCCCTGTCCCTCAGCCTGCGCTCTGTGGCTGTCAGCAACTACCCAGAACCTGGGCCAGCTGCAAACATCTGCTGCCTCTCCGCCCCAGCCCTGGCTCCAGCTGCCTCCCAGCCCTAGACCCAGCTCTGGGGAGACAGCACATACCGGCAATGGTCCCTGCTGTGCTGCCCTCGCCGCCACTTCTGCAAAGCAGCATTGGAACCTGGCATGGCACAGCGGGGGGTGCAGAAAGCTGCCTGCTCCGAGCTCCCCGCTTCCCCTGTATGCATGGGAGAAGCATGGGCAGCAATGCAGGGTTGTGCCCCATGCTGCTGTCTCCGCTTGCGGGGAAATTGTGGCAAGGCAGTGGGGAGCTGGGAGCAGGCAGCTTTCTGTGCCTCCCGCTGTGCAGTGCCGCACCAGGTTCCAATGCTTCTCTGCAGAAGCGGCAAGGGGAGCATTGCCAGTATGTGCTGCCTCCCGGGGGCCAGGGCTGGGGCTGGGAGGCAGCTGGTGCCAGGGCTGGTGTGGAGAGGCAGGAGATGGTTGCAGCTGGACACCCCTGAGCTACCCAGAGCTTGGGCTGGCCGTAGCTGGGAGGCTGCAAACAGCTGCTGCCTCCCCAGCCCCAACGCGTGCTGAGGAAAATGGTCTTGCGTGCCATGCTTGGCACACGTGCCAGGGTTGCCAACCCCTGGTCTAAAGAACTAATAAAAGCAAAAGACTTACTTAAAATGTTAGCTATAAGCAGTCCAAGGTTCTTTCTCTTTTTCTAATATTGTCTTAAACTAACCAAAATATTTTTCTTTTCCCTGTCAATTGTACTGTATTCTTATTTAAGACAAGCTCACAGTTTTACAAGTGAGTTGCTGGAGATCTAAATATAATAGACCTGCAGTATTGCCATATGTTTCTTGTTCTGATCAATAATCATATAACATTTTTGGTCTTATTGCGATAATCTGACAGTGTATTTTCTCCATGGACTCCCTGACTACTCTGGTTCAAGAGGATTGGACTTTAAACATGTCTGAGGCCATTTGTAGTTCTTCAAGAACATTTATTCCAGACAGGTATCTAAAAAGATCTGTCAACTTTAGTTGTCATTTGCCCTTCTCAAATAATGTACTTGATATAGAGAGCCAACAGTCTAACTTATAAATTATATATCTTTTCAGTTACAGTACCATTCAGTTGAAGTAATTTCAATCCTCTTTCTATCAAATTTGTGATTTTTCCCAAATACAGGATTTTCTCCAGTCTTACTCTGTGTTTTTGCTTTCTTGACTTCTGGTGCAGGCACATTTTCTTTTGTTTCATATTAGAACAAATTATTATAACTTCAAAGGCAAGTAGATACTACAGGTCTTCTTCTTCCTTCCCTCTCTCTTTCAATAAATTCATTTTTAGGTGGACATACCCCCAAATTGTGACAGGATTAAACTAAATTTTGACACACTGGTGGCTTCCTCCGAGGTGTGCACTGTAGTCCTTATCTTCAAAAATTCATCCCTGCCCCTTGAGAGTAGGGCTTTAAGTCTGCAGTCTCCTCTAGTTCACTGTGATTATACCTAGCATATCTGACATTAATGCAGTACCTTGCATCCTTTTCCCTGTCAGAGAGAGTGACAGAATTAATTGATAACCTATTGGCTTTCACAAAGCATGGTACTATTTAGTAGGACAAATGTATTGCAGAGGGAAACTTAGCATGTATATAAACTGTTATTTTTTATGCTAGACAGTATCTCAATTACACAGGTGCAGGTAAGTGCAGATGTGAGTTAGTCAGCTCTGCGTTCTGGTCTGAGTCCCTCTATGTTTGTAGTTACCTCAAATCAGGGCTGTCTCTCTAAAACCTGTCAGCTTTATTGTCTGGCCTTCTGAATGAGAACAAACTAATATGCAGCTTATCTCACTGGATGAAACTTCTCACGTTTTTTTTTGTGTTTTCTGTCACTTGCAGGAATACAGTAGTACATAACAAGTAACATACACATCATTGAAATAAATTCTCTCTGAATGTTCCATGTGCCCACAGTGTTTGGCCATCTCAGTATAATAGTCCTTGAAGATTCCTTGCTTTGCAGGTCTTAAGACCTGTGACAGCAACTTCTGCTAGATAAACAGTTTATGTAGGATTAAGTTTACACTAGGTTTTCTGCTTACCCCCCCTCCCACTCCCCCTGCTTTTCTCCCAGGCTCCTCTCAGATTCTGTTCCTTTCAGTGTTTCTACATTATGGGTCATACCTTAAATGAACTTCTAGATGGCATTGCATTAGCATCTGCCAGAAAGAGTTTCTCTCTTCCTCACCCCAAATGGTTTTTTTGTATTGTGTTGGTACTTTAACAGCCTCTGCTAGGTGTAGTGTTAGAAACTTGAAACTAGACTCTTCAGGAAAATGATTTGTGTGAATCTCTCATAGCTTGAAGGGTTGATTTGAGCCTGCACATGAGGTTGTTTTTACTGAAAGGGTTTAAAAATATTGCTTATAGCATCTTGGGCTTTGTTTTTCTTTTAGTGATCTCTTAAGACTAGATCCTGAGTTTTTAAAAATAATGAAGTAGATAAAGTAGAAACTTAGTGCAACTTAATCCAAATTAACTAGTTTGTTGATTCTCAATAGGGAGCATGGGGTACAAGATCCTTTTAAGAGTGCTTAGAACAGCAAGGAGTGCTGTGCTCACTCTTGCCCTCAGCCACCAAAAAGATGTGAGTGGAGACTCATCTGTGCCTGGTCCCTGTGGGCGGAGGCAAGTGCTTGTTCCTTGTACCCGTCCCCTGTGTCAGGAGGCAAACACTATAATAAATTCGTTTTTTAAATGATGTGCCATTAATTAACAAAAGTTATGGCATGGGACCTGGAGTCTGAAAGGTTGAGGATCACTGTTCTGTCCCTTTCAAACAGCTCAAAGTTAATTTTGGAAAAAAAATGAATTGGTTTCCATTTGATAATATATCTTAAGTCCCCTCCCCCCCTACACAATAACTGGGTGCTTAGAAGAATTGTATGAATGATCTTGTTTATATTGGTTTTCTGTCCTCATTAGGTTTTGTCACTTTGCATTACCTGTAAGACTGAATGACTGGAAAAATCAGTAGGCTTCTGATATAAGGAAGACCAAAGGAATTGAACTGAACTGAGGGACAGTAGACTGATTTTTTTATTCAGAATGAAAATCAGTTCTAAACTTTTATTTTTCTTAATGTATTTGTGTGTAAGAAACACTAAAGATTCAGCACGTATGTTCAGTTAAGGGTGAGTGGTCTTTCCGTCTGCTTCTCTAGGTCTTCAAAAAAGACCCTCCAGCAAAGCCCTTTGAATATAAACTTTCAAAATAGTATTCCAAATACTATTTTGGAAAACATGAAATAACTTGTATGTAAATAACTTCTCAAGCCTCTCTTGGATACTATGGAAAAAAATCCCCTTCCCTTCTTCCCTGCTTTATCTTTGCAAACCACTTATTTTTAGAAATTCAAGGTAGCTTTAACTTGTCTTTTCAAAGGAGATTTGAAGGATTAATACAAATGGGAAAGAGCCCCACCATGGAATTACTTTTTGACTGGGGAACATCCAACTGCACAGTTAGTGATCTTGTGGATATATTAATAAAGAATCAGCTCTTGGCACCAGCCACTCTTTTGCTTCCAGGTAATGCCATTGGCTCAGTTTGCATACATTGCTTTTGTAACTTCATTCGTATTCTATTAAGAGAATGGAAACGATGACGTCTAACAATTTTCAGTTCAATTCTTCTTTGTTACCTGCAGTGAGAATTTTTAATAGAACAGATTAAAAGGAATTGCTTAGGATCTTATAAGTGCTATTTAATGTATCTCTAATTTTTAAACATTCTTGTAGAACATGATGTATGTAGTTGAAGTTTGCTTATCTATCAACCTGCACTAAATTTTGATGTTACATAACTTATTTTTGTCACATTTTAAAATTCTGTTTACAGATGATGTTCAGGTGGCAAATGACATTACCTGGCAAACGACAATACCTTTTTCTTCACAAGAAACTATGCCTATATGTGGGAAGCAAGTGCCAGTGCAGGAAAAACAAGTTACAACTTTAAAGCCTGTTTTAGCTCAGGATAATGAGCAGCAACCTTCAGCTCCTCCCTGCTTATATCAAGAGAACAACAGCCCAGAGTTGAGTGACAAAGGTCTGCTTTTAGTTTGGTATAATTAAATGTAACTTCAATTGTTGGCTTCCATCCCCTGTGAAATAAGAAGACTGTATTATAACAGCCAAAAGGTCAATTCTGCACATCCTTTTAAGTCCCCTATCCTACTTCCTGTTCTGCCTGGAGAAGGGATTGTGACTTCTGATAATCAAACTGTCAGCACTCCATGTTGACACTTGGGAGGCCACTGAGATGGTATAGTGGATACAGAAGCTTCTAATTCTTATGCACAATGTATTGGTGCTGATGCTAATAGTGGGCTGTTTTGCAGCAGCTTTTTGTGGCCCGTTCTTTATGATGCATTTTGCATGGCAGAAACCAGTTACTACAGAATTTTAAAATACTTGCAGTCATAACAGCCACTACTCATGAACAAAGCTATAATTTTTTGCTTGTCTTTCTTCTGGCAACTTTTAAGAAAGAGGAACAATTCTGTCTTAAAATTCATAATGACTTCAAAATTAAGAATTCAGAAAGCTAGTATTTATACAACAGTTTGCTAATAAAGCCAAGGCAGGAAGATGCACCATTGATATAAGATAAACATGCAAGCTTCATCTAAAGTTGCAAATATTTATTTCAGATTTCCTCAGTTTTTGGTTTCATGAGTTGGAAAGTATTACAAATAATTTCGATGAGCGACCTGAATCAGCTGGAGGTAACAAACTGGGAGAGGGTGGCTTTGGAGTTGTGTTCAAAGGCTGCATCAATGGAAGAACTGTGGCAGTGAAAAAGCTTGCTGCTGTAAGTTGCTTTAAGTTTTATCACTATCATCAGTCTCTTATTATTAATTGGACCCATTCTCCCATTTTTTATAGGTGAATATATGTGTTTCAGAATGTGACACTACTTAAAATGTAGATAGACAAGAATTAATTCTAAGATTAAGTTTTTTTAAAAAGGCACTGCTATTTTGCCACATTACTGGAAGTCACCTGTTGGCACTTATGCCACTGGTGGGAATGAATTTTTTTATGGCCCCAACTGGTATAGACTGAAATTTCTGAAGCCTGAGAATTGGTAGTTTCTGTAGTTTTATACCAGTTAAATTTGTGATCGTATAGTCAGATGGATTAATATACTGAAATTTTTATATTTGGAAAGTCTCTGAACATGTTGTATTCGTCACCTTTGTTCTGACAATGATTTGGAACAGTGGCCATGTAAGAAGACTCACTGTGTAAATGAGTAGTAACACTATGATATAATTTTTTAATGTTAAATAGGACTGTTCAACTTCCAAGTGGCAGGAGACTGCACATACACTAGCAAGGGCTGCATGTCATGTGGGCTGTACCACGGCAAACCATAGACACCCCTACTGCTACACTGTGCGCCCATGCAGGCTCTTCCCCACCACCACCACCATGCCTGCACGGGCATACCATCCCCAGCTTCTTGCCACTGCACCGCACACTCACAGGGCCACAGATTCACCCTGTGCTCCCCATGCTGTACTGGGAAGGGGACAGGAAGCTGGAGCTGGAGAAGGGAGGCAGAGCCCCCAGGTGGCTGTTGCAGTTGGAGCAATAGGGAGTACAGCAGCTGAACAGAAGACCAGGGGCCAGACGCAACCACTTGTAGGCAACCCCTGTGGACTGCTAGTTGGACATCCCTGCTTCAAAACAAAATTATGAGGATAGGATTACTAAGGAAATATACTTTTTCACTTAATTTTAAAAACACGTCTATTCACATGTGGTGTGTAAAAATAAATAAATGAATACATTGATGGAGGAATACCAATGAATGACAAACATTAATTACACTATCTTTTTGGGAGGATATAGCTTAAGTTGAAAGTAAAAAGAAAATCCTTTAATTATGCACTTGTTTTTCAGTATCTTTATAATCTTTATGAATAAAAGATCCCATGTTAAGGTTTAAATGCCAGAATTGGATGCATCATTCCCATTACTTAACCTTTAGCCAAGGCACAGTCATTGCTCCATCTAACCAGTGTTGTCCCATTTAATTTAATGAGACCTGTGGTTAGAAAAATGACAGAGCCAGGCCCTCAATTCACAGTTTATTAACATAGAGTAAAACTTAGGTGAAAAGGGTGTCCTTCTTGAACCTTATTACATTTCTGAAGCTCTGTTTTTGGGGTTTTTTTCATCCAGGGAGTTTGATGATATAGCTGGTTGACAGGGATATGACAATTTAAGATGTATGTTTAGGGAATAATGCATAACTTAAAAAAAACAAAGACTGTTCCATAATGAAAATCCCAAATAGGTTCAGTTAGCATTTCCAAGAACAAGGGGAATACTATACAGCAGTGATGAACAGCATGCAGCTGTACAGCCAGAAGTATTGGAAGAATTTTATTCTTACAAGGTTGCATGTAACCAACCACCAGCTTGGTTTGCTTGGGTTATATGGAGTCCTTCATGGGCTCTTGAGGAAGGATTTTGTTAATCAACACTTTTAACAAAAATGGAGTCTCCCTCTTTTCCCCACCCACCTTTGCAAATATAAGAAAGTAGTCTCCATCTTTCAGGTCAGACTTAAGAATCAATATTTATAGTACACAAAACTTATAATGATCTAAATCATAAATATCAATAATCATTTGAATGGTTTTAAACACATATACTAATTTAAGTAATTTGCATTTTTATGATTCATATAAATAATTATATAAATTGTTCCATCATTTACTTTGTTTTCATTTGAGCTCAGTATTAATGATGCTTTAATTCCTATATCTTGTCATAGAAAGTATTATATAAATTCTTCAGACATACTTTGATTTAGACTGCTTTCTACTAAGAGGATGCCAATATAAATATCAAGGGTACAAATATCAACAGTCTTATTAAAAGGCAAGGGATAGGGCCTGGCTGGGTTCCCCCCATGGTCCCCTCCCCACACCCG